GGGGGGGGGGGGGGGGGGTGGTGACACCGCCGGAACCACCGGTTAACCACCATCCAGTCGCCACCAACCACCCTCACCCACAAAAGTTACATATGGTATGATTAGCTTTCCCTGTTCAAAAAAATAGGAGAAATAAACATTTGATCAACAATTCAGAGACAAATACATACATTGAGTTGCTCTGTGTATCCCTTTCGGACGGTCTCGCTCTCATTATATAGCTTATCAAAGAACAAGAATCTCCTCAGCCCAAATTTACTTATAAAATACGATAAACAAATAAACGACAGGGAGGCGACACCGGTGAGAGAAAGCTGCATCACGGTGTCGTACGGCCGGCTGTGGCGGTTGTCGCAATTACTACAAACCAACACGAAATTTGATAGTGCAGGGATCAAAATGGCAAATACGAAGAAAACGAACCACGAAAGACAGGCAGTCTTTGCATTGGATTGATCCACGCACAGCCATTTGAGCCAGCTACGAAAGCTGTGCAATTCATCGTACGCGTGAGAAACGCATCTTAAAAGAGCCACGTTCTTGTCGGAATTCAACAAGGATTCTCTTGAAGTCTCGTCCCCCATTATCAAATGATTTCTTCAACGAGGCCGATTTTTTTCAGTATTTTGTATGCTCAGACACAGAGACAGAGAGAGAGAGTGAGGGATAAATTTGTGGATTAATTGAAATAACACGTATTAGGACATATAAATCATCCATTATCGTATAAAAATAAAAAAATAAGGGTGTATTATACTAAAGAAGTAATTACGGATAATATAAAAAAAATTATAAAGTCAACTAGAAATATATTAAAATAATTATTAAATTCATAATTTAGCTTTACGTGTCACGAGGTTCACCTGATTAGCATCTGTAGGTATCGACTGAGGCAATAAAATAATTGTGAAATCATACTTGATATGTCACATGCAACGTGTATGGTTCCCCTTCAATCAAGTAAATGGCAAACCTAGCAACCTGTCCATTCCACGTGAGATGCGTCGAAGTTTTATGATTTTATTCACAAGTGTCGTATTTTACTAGAAAAGTTTTACAAGGTCACCCGACTTACAAATTTATTCAACGTTATTACTCAACTTCGATATGTTTTAATTTGGTTACTCTTACATATTTGTTTAGTTTAGGGGGTGTTTGAAATCCATTTTAGTAGAAAAATGTGTTTTTGAATAGTGATTGATGGAAGAATGTGTGGTTAAAAAGTAAGGAGAATTTTTAGGTTTATGTATAATATTATTTTATTAATAGAATGAGTGGTTGAAATGAAAAAATAGAAAAATAATGAAAATGAGAAAAAATTGGGTGTCAAAAGGGGGCTAAACAATGTCATTTGCGATCGTGGCTAAAATTAATGGCTAGTGCATGACTAGGGGAGAATTAGACAACCGAGCTCGACTCAACCCGGTGTAGTAGCCGAACTTGGCTTGTGTCCGCTAACAAGATTAGATTTGGCATTTTGGCCCTCCCGATTAGTAAACTAGTCAACTCGTTTATTAAGAAACTAATAAAATAAACCAAAAATGACTTAAAAAAATAGTCGACCTATGAGCTCAAGACAGTTCCACGAGCCGGTTCTTGAAAAAAAATGGAGCTCAATTTGATTCATGGCTCATCTCGATGCGAGTTCGAGTGGTCCATAAATATAGCTAGGACAAGCCAAGCTCCCGTGTCGACGAGAGGCTCGACCCATTTGTCATCTTTATGCATTGTTTTGACTCTAAATCAACCGTCATTTTGCCAAACAAATTGCAATCGAATCGCAAAATTGCAAACAAGTGGTTGTTAATTCACTTTACTCGAGTTTTCTTCGTTTATAATAATTGTTGATTTAATATTAAGCAAGTGTCGATTCTTGCATTTCATAACCCGCTTGGCGTATACAGTATGTTTTGATCTCACTACAAGTATAATAGTCGAAACTAACATAAAAATGTAAATTGAATGATCAAAATCGAGATAAATTGAAGTTAGATGATTAACATTAAACAAACCCTTACGTAGGGTGACCACCAATAAAATTTCCCATTACGTATGTAGTGGACAATTCAAGATTTAGAGTCGATTTTATGAGAGAATAAATTATCTTTTAATCAAATATATAAGATAAAGGTCAGTGAATTTGGTGCAATGTTTCATGTTTGTAACAAGTTGATTGAGCATCGTCTTTTACAAGTAGGTGTTTTTAGTATAATAATGCCATATGGGATAAATATATGCATTACCCAAATAACATTAATTTGAAATAAATTATTAGTTTATTTTTCGATGTACTGATTTGAGCTTGCATTTGTTCATGCATCGTTTCAATACTATAAATCGATTGCACTAAAAAAATATTCGATTTATAATTCGATCTAAATTTTTATTGTCTATGATTGATAAATAAAGACGAAGATTTTATTTTTTTGTGATTGTCTTGATTTTAATTTTGCAATTTATTGAATTGGACCACATGAAACTTAATTTGTGAAATCGTTCACATAAATTTAATTTTACTTGATTGTTGTGCATATGATCTTAATTTTAAGCGGTTATTAGACTTTCGTAACTATCTTGAAATTCTTTAGTATATCAATGGGATAATATCAAAATATTGATCAATATATCGGTGCTTTTGGAATAAATATGAAATATCTTGGAACATATATTCACATTATGGAATTTGTAATCTATTTAATAGGGACGATCATGACCCCAAAGAGTTTTTTAATGGACAATTAAATTTGAGCTTGATAATTCGACATTAACTATTGAATTAATATTGTGACTTAATCACATGAACTTTATCGGTGTCGCTATTCCATAAAATATGACGAATTAATTATAATTAATTTCCATGGGTCCTCTCCACGTTCCCTCCTCATTTCTTCTCATGCTATTTTTTCCCCATAAAAGTCCGACCTTTTGTTTTTTAAAGTGTTTTAAAGAGTTTGTCTAGGTGGCGCCTAAACTCGAAGTTCGGGCAAAATGTCTCTTTTCGCGTCTAGACGCTTTTTTTTTTTCAATTCCTAAACGATTGAATTTTTTCCTTCATATCTTTTGCCTTCCCTAAGCGCGCTTTATTACTCTTTTTTTTTTTTTTTTTTTTTTTTTTTTTTTTTTTTTTTTTTTTTTTTTTTTTT